TTTTTTTTTTTTTTTTTTTTTTGCGTATTTTATAAAGTTTACAATATTTTATTAAACAGGTGAAATAGACTAATTCAATTAACCACAACGATGAGTTTGAGCTAATATTAAGCATTTACAATATATACTTCGGCCTTTCCTCAACCTCTACATTCGTTTTATCTATGATGACATTGTCTAGTTTTTCTTTGAAACGAGAAGCTGCCCACTTGTTCTTCAGTCTACCAGGATTCTTTTGCAAGTTCTAAAGCATTATTTCTCGTGTTTCTTCATCGACTTGGATACCGTTTTTACACATCTTCGTGTAAAGTTTTTTTCGCTAAATCGGTGAACTGAAACCATCAGAGAACAAAACAACAATATTCCAAGTTATTAGAAACTATAATGTGGTTTGATTGGAAGCCTTCTTTTCCAATTACATAGATTTTGTGATGTTTTTCAACCAGAGCTTATAATAAACTAAGTTCTCATGTAACACTGGCATTAGTAGCCGTTTATATATATCGTCTATCATATCATATCAAATTGATGTATCACGTCATTTTTTAGTTGATATAGAACTCGGACTGCAACAATTTACATATACATGAAAGCAGCAGACTGCAACAATTTATAAGAATTACAGGTGCAGAGACTGAAATGAGGTAAGTCCCATAGAGACAGTTGCAAGCCTGTAGCAGAGCTGCAGAACTTGTGATGAATCAAGAAAATGGCAATGTTGACCTTTTTCATCACTTCCACATAATAGGGTAAGGGGGACATATACAAGCAATCCTTTGTTACTGTGGCAATCTTGATCGTACCAGGCTTTCCTTTCTGGAAAATATGGTCCGTTCCACTTCAATCGTCTTCGATGAACAGAAGCAGATGGGAAGTTCTTGCAGATCTGGTCAAGTACATAGTGACTATTGCTTTGCTGTGTCCAAAGAGTCTTGTTTGTCTAACCATTTTCTTCTGCATATTCGAGTCAAGAACTCGTTAGAACTCGACCGGAGCAGTGTCTTCTAAGAGATGACAACCTAATGTTTATATACAATACAGTGGCCAATCTGCACCAGGGACTCTCAGCATCATCCTCCATGACTCTTGATACTAACAGTAGGAGTACTTGTGCAGGCAATGCCCAGCTGAACGCATTTAGAGAGCAGAAAACGAAGAGAAATGCACCCGAATTAACTTAGTTAAAGAAGTAAGGCGACTCCAGAACTTCCTTTAGATCTAACTCTCCCCGTTCGGGTAGAGGAGGAAAGTCCAACGCAGGAAAAGATTGCTGAAAGCCCTCCAATAACTATAAGAAAACAATAAGTCAGATGAATAACAACGTCAACAAGTATAACACATCACAAGGAGTTAGGAAAGCCGTACATTTTCGAGTATTGGAGTCTCGTAAAGTTCGACGAACTTCTCTCTAAGTATTCTATTCATTTCATCCACGTCGCAAGCGTGTGTCCAGTACGAATCATGAACCCCTGATAGAAACATGAGAATACAGCACTTAGCACCAGTAGAGTGTGAAAAAGACTAGATAACAGAGAAAAGAATCCGGAGGACAAACCTGCAAAATTCAAACCTGCCCTTTTGCAAGCAACAGCAGTCATCATCATATGAGAACCATCAAGGGAGTGAACAAAATTTGGTGGGAAAGCTGTCCGCTGCCTCTTTACCAAGACCTGCAACGTCCAAAGAAAATCCCTCAATAAACTTCCATTGATAATAATGAGAAATTCCAAGTAAAACTATGATGTTACCTTGTCTGTCTCTTGTTGTAGTGTCAAAACTTGGAGAGAAGTTTTGACCTGAAACCAGTGATAGCTTAATTAATGCCTCAGAATATCTCTTCTATATTACCATAAGAGAATTGGTCACTTTTACTGATTATGTAAAATCTTCAACACTCACAAGATGCTTTCCCAACTTGCGATACGGTTGCACAACAGGTAGTCCAAGAGGTGTAGTCCATCGCACAGGTTGATTTTCAGAGGCAATGATCTATTTGAATACAAACTTCATGTTATTTCCAATACATAGCTAAGGGGGAGCTGACAGCGTTTTTTTTTTTACCCCTTAAAAGAAAAAAAAAGCTGAGAAGAGGACTAACTTTTGCACAGTCTCCTAGCCAACTCATGATCCCACGGGCTGCTTCGAACATTTCCCCTAGTGCCGTTAACGTGGTCTGCTCACACACATAATGTTACTGAACTATTTAAATCATTCAAGCATTTAATTCATAGAAGCTCCCAAAACGAAGATACCTTGGCAGCATAGCAAGCACAGCCAAAAAGCTCTGTATCATCAGATATGGCAGCACGCTCCTTCAGCCTCCTTTTGATCTGATCACGAGCGCCAATATAGGTGACGCCATAAACCGATGTCATCACTGTTTGCTTCACCAATTTTCTGTCCACCTATAAGAGTTTTAGCAATAAGGATCAGAAAGCAATCAAGTTATGGTGATTGCATCAGAAACTTATATTTTCCCATGATTGAAGTTCAGAGTTCCCAAGTAGGTAGAAAACCTGATCTATTAATGTTTTTGCACGCAATGCATCTGGAAAAGTTTCTGGATCTCTTTGTGCATCTTTTCGCACGATTTCCAGAACCCTGCAACAATAAATATATTTATTATATATATAACTTCTGTGGTGTAGACTTCCCCAAAAAAATCTATGGTGTTATTAGTTAAATCCCTTCCTTGATCCACTTGTAAGGGGAATAAAAGGATATCAGGATCCTAACATACCAACTTCTAAAATCAGTTTGAGTTCCTGACAGACCGAAGATGGAGATTAGAGTGAGATCTCACATTGGTTGGAGAGGGAAACGAGGCATTCCTTATAAGAGTGTGGAAACCTCTCCCTAGTGGACGCATTTTAAAACCTTGAGAGAAAGCCTAGAAGGGAAAACTTGGAAAGGAAAGCCCAAAGAGGACAATATCTACTAGTGGTGGACTTGGGTTGTTATAAATGGTATTAGAGCCAAACATTGGGCGGTGTGCTAGCGAGGACGTTGGCCCCCAAGAGGATGGATTGCGAGATCCCACATGGGTTGGAGAGAGGAACAAAGCATTCCTTATAAGGGTGTTGAAACCTTTCCTAGTGGACGCGTTTTAAAACTTTGAGGAGAAGCTTAGAAGGGAAAGCCCAAAAGGACAATATCTGCTAGCGGTGGGCTTGGACTATTACAATTAAGAGCCTGAAAATAGGATATTCATTATGTAAGGTATTACTATAAAAGCATATGATGCAAACATGGAAGTCCATTGGCTTCAGCTACAGCCTCGACAATGTTAATAACATCATAAATTACTAGCAATATTGAATTGATGCCTCAAAACTATGACAATCTGAAGTTACTCGAGCCCAAATTACCCAAAATCTCAAAGCCATCTCCTCAATGGACAGGGATTCTTATAACTTTCACTTTGTAAATCCTCCAAAGCAGATAACTCAGATACCTAATCTCGCAAACTCACCATGTGAGACAACCAAAAGTCATTCTCTACCTCACTCAAAACAATTCTTCACAAGTATCTATTTCCTCGGCAACAAGGGAAGATTTTAAGGATAAGTAATTCATAGGAAGACAGCCAAGAACAATGAGAATAAATCAACATCCTTTAAAGAGTAGGCTCTTGATAATAAAGAACAATTTTATTTCATATAATTTATCAAGTTTTATCTCCAAGTTTTTGTAGCATACCTAGCAGCTATTCCAGAGTACACATCTGCAGGCTTCTCTCTCACGGCCAGATTGACAGCAGCTGCTCCTAACTGAACCAAAAACTTTCAATAAGACAAGATCCGAAGCCACTGGTGGAAGTGAAAAGTACAAAGAAACCAATGATAAACTAAATACAATAAAATGGAATTGGTTCTTTAGCGCTCGCAGAAATAAATAGATAAATAAATTATAAAACATTGGAAATTTTAACAAATTTAGCTTAGCAGGGAAAGAATAAAGGATCTAAACAAAGTACAGGGTAGATTGATGTATGGCCTACACGTTATGAAACCAAAAAGGGGGGGGGG